CTACTTACTAACTTTAACTTATATTCTCTCTCTCTCTCTCTCTCTCTCTCTCTCTCTCTCTCTATAGAATAGTCGGATCAAACGAGAACATAACTCACATTATGCCCTTATTTAGTTTTTCTAAACAGAAACACCAAAAAATGAAGAAATCAGAGAAAAAAGAATCACCTCTTGGTGGGCAGATCTTCGACACCGTTCAGTCTGTCGGGCCAGACGAATCTTCTTGAGGACATATCTAAAAAATTCACAGCAAAATTGCCAAGGAAAAATGAAAAAATGGATAGTATAAATATGCATTTATGATCATGGCACAAGAGAAAATGAAAAAGACAGAAAGGCAGAATAAGAAGCCCTAGATATGGTTTTATGAATGCGCACTTCTTCTTCTCTTGTTTGTGCTTGACCAGAAGCGCAGAGCCAAACGCCCCTTTTCCAATCTGTTCCAGAATCTCGTAATGCTCCATTGCAAATATGGCTTGTAACAAACAATCAAAATGGCGCTGTCTTATTTCATTCTAGAGAGAGAGAGAGCAATGCTCCATGGTAGGTGGCTCTGACAGCGTTCAAAGGACAAGAGAAGAGAACTATCAGTGTGTGCGAGAGAGAGAGAATACTGCATCATCTATTGTGGTTCAAAGCTGGAATTCAGAGCATCGAAAAACAAATGCAGAGATTTATCTGAGAGAGAAAAATGCACTCAAAATTACAGGCATTGTTTGCAACTTGACACTTCAAATGCTGAGACGTTTATCTCGGGAGGAGAGAGAGAGAGAGAGAGGAGAGTGGGAGACTCGCCTTGGATCATGATGAGTAAGAAGAGTAAAGAGAGAGAGAGTCATCAACGAAGAGTGGGAGTAAAACGCTAAATTGCGGATGGTAGATAACGCATTCAACAACAAACGCACAGGTTTATAAATGACAGAGACACAGTGGTGGAGAGAGAGAGAGTGATAGAGGCAATGGCGCATAAGAGAGAGAGAGCGCACGAGAGAGAGTTTCACTTTTATCATCGTTTCGTACCACAGAGCTTGAATCATGTGAGGGATCACCGTAGGGAAAAAGTAAAAAAATGAGTTCGTGATGAGAGAGAGTGGAAGAGGGAACAAATTCGAAGTTCAAAATCTTTAACGCTACACTCGAACTGGAGAGCAGAGAAGACTCATTTTCTAGAGAGAGAAAGATACAAAAAGATGAGAGATAATGAGGAGAGAGAGGACAGAGGTCAAATCTCTGCTTTTGATGCTCCCGTGCCTGCCACCTGGCAGCCCTCCCTTTTTATGTACGACGCGAAGCCGACCAACATAGTGGGCCCCGCTTCGGTCGTTCTTGGCCATGGCAACCCGGAAGTTTTCAAGCATAATAATCGGCGACTTTTTACAATTTTCTCTATTAATCTTTAATTTTATTAAATTAAAAAATATCTTTATTTTTAAAAAAATTCCAAATAATATCTAATTATTTTATAATCTACATTCATACTCATTTTGTTACGATTTTCATTTTTTTTTTTTTATTGAACTATCAATTGAGGTTTTTTTTTTCTTTTAATCGCAAACCTTCGACAGCGATCTATCTGGATGGCCAGGGTTCTAAAAAGACCATCACGGTCCTGAATATGACAATGATGGTAAAAAGGCATATTTATAGATCATCACATTCTTAAGGAAACCACAAACCATCATGGTTCAAGTGGGCTATGACAAGGGAGCATCATAGCTTTTTTAGAGCTTTGATGTTCTTTTCTGTTTTGAATGACTACTATAAATGGGTAGGGATATAAATTTTAAAAAATTTATGTACTATTTCAATTTAAAAAGAAATATATTTTTTATAAGGGATTGATACAATGAGACCATTTAATGTTCAAGATGGTGGTTGTCCTTTTTCATGTTATTTTTTTACAAAATTTAACAGTGGAAAATTAGAAAATAAAACAACACAAATAAATTACACTCAAGTTTTTTTTGTTGTAGTTAAAGTTTAATAAAAGGATAGGATAGTGAATTTCCAAAATCCAAAAAAGGATAAGATGGTAAATTTCCAAAATTCAAAAAACCAAACGCAGTTTTTTTTCTTTTCTTGAAATACAATGGAAATCATGATAAAGAAGAAAATCAACCGTATAAGAAAAGAGAAAATGGAAAAACTACAAATTCAGCTGTTTTGATTTGTTTTCCTTCACCATTGTGAAATTCATTCAGTCTTTGAAAAAAAGTGATGGTAGGAGAATTTTAAAATCAAGTAGATCTATAAACATATGAAATTGAAAAAGGATGGTCTTGAAAAAGGATGGTCTTGATAATGTACTGCAAGATGCACTATTTATGGAACTCAAAATCTTTTTTTCTTCTCATATTCCTACATCTCAATGTCGACATAATCAATTAGAGATTTTTTCAACATTAAAACAGCATTTTCCCATGGATTTTGAGATGCACCTAGAATTGCGATTTTATATAAACTTTTTCCTTTCTTAATTCCCCTTTAAATCCCCACCCTATAAGCCCCTATTTTATTTTATTTTTAATTTATTTTAAATATTTTTTAAGCCAACAATTTGGAGTGATCCAGACCCAAATAATTTTAATTTATTTTTAATAATTTCTAAGTCAACAATTCAGATTGATCCAAACCCAATCCATATCTAAAGATATGACATAGATCTGTGGGTGAACGTCCACCCCACTGATCTGGGATTTAAAACATTGCATCATGAGATGACCACATGTCCAACGACCATTTTGAAACTGGTATCGGCAGGGTGGATGGGCCCTCCATTGGACAAGTCCGAATCAATTAAAAAATAAATAATATAAACGAAGGAAGGAAAAGAAAATAAAATGTTGTATGGAACCATAGTTCCTATGTTTCTTTAATTATTTATTTTTTAAATCAGTGAATCAAAATCTACCGATATAGATCAACAATTAGTGTGACCCGATTTCTACAAAATCATCTGATTACCTCGTGTAACCGGCTAATTCTATCATAGAAATGATTTACCATGATTTTTTTTTTGGTTGGATGCCCAATCTGAATCGGTTTCCCGGATGCCAATTTACCTTACCAAAAAATACACCATGAAACATGGAGTATTAGATAAATTACGGCGGGTTCTATATCGTGGGAGTGAACCTTCCCAACCCAATCTGGACCTGCCATTTCTGAGTCTTCCATTTTTTTGATATAAAAAAAATTGAAATCTAAGGCATTTTTGCTACATGAATTAAAACGAAAACTTATTTGTCAAAAAAAAAAATTAAAACGAAGACTTGGCAGTGCTGTGGCCTAGGCTCTAGTGCTGGCAAGCGAGGCCGTACTATGCTGAAACAGATCAGTCAGAGGTTTGTCCTTTCTACAAACGCACCTCCTTTGTATAGAAGACCTCAAAAACCACTTACAACCACCACAACCTAGATCAGTGTTTTAAGAACCGAAGTGGTAGGTTGAACATGGATGACCAGTTTTTGGGTAGTAAAATATGGAAAAAGTTTATATAAGGATGCAACCTTATAATGTAGAATACGGATGCACCTAAAAAATCAATCGGAAAAAGTAGTTTTAATGTTGAAAAACCTTTTGATTGATCATCTCGACATCGATATGTATGACCATGAAAAATAAAAAGATTTTAAGTCTTAGAAACATTGCATTTTACAACACATTATCTACACCGTCCATTTTCAACATATGACCCAATATTTGAAATATTTAACGTTTTATTATAGGAGTGTTTCATAAATTTCAAAACTTATTTTGATGTCATTTTATAAGCAATTTGAAATTTGATCAAAAGACTAATGTGTAATTTGAAATTAAATATAAATAAATAAACGATAAAAAATAGATAAAAAAAAAGGAAAAATGGTTCGATATGGTTGTAGCCCTATCAAAATAAGTAAAACCTCACCTCATAATTTTTTGAAAGTTGCAATTCAAGCATTTCGAAAACCTTTACGGCGATCATCTGGGCTTATGGTTGTCAAAAAAATATTTCAAACTCTATAAATAATGCATATTGTATCAAATTATCAAGACCGTTCATTTCGCCCTAAAAATAAATGTTCACATATCTGCAAGATCTAACATTTTTTAGTTTTTAATTTTATTGTCAATGTTGGAAATTGGTTTTAGATAGAGCCATCTTAGAGATTTGCAATGTTCAAAGTACTTTCTAAACGAGGATTTTGAGGTGAGGCTTTATTTTGTTTCATAAAGCCTGAACCTTATACAAACTTCATCTTAAAAAGAGTATGTGTAAGATGTTAAATGAATTGTATACAATCAGACCATTTACCTTTAATACAAGGTGGTCACAATTACTTACAACCATCTTATGTGAAATTTGATAGCTTGTGTGTGTCACAAAGTTCAAAAAATTTTCATTTGAAGTTTGAGCTTGATCGATGAAATAAATACAACCATCCAATTTCACATCTAATGGTCAAGATTATTTGTAACTACCTTGTACCAAAGGTAAATGGTCTCATTCTATACTTCTCTGATGTTAAATAGTTCAAATAATAGGCATAGTTTGACAAGTTTTTTTTTTTGTTACTCAATCTGCTTTTATTCAAGATCAACAAATCATATATAGTGTTTTGGTGGCGCAATAATGTGTTCACTCTAGTTCTTAGCAAGAAGCTAGATATTCTGTTAAAACTAGATATGGAGAAAGCATACGATCGGGTTGAATGGGGTATTTTACTTGAAATCATGAGAGTAATGGGCTTTGGTGATAAGTGACGATATTGGATCAAGGGATGTTTGTCCTTGGCGTACTTCTCCGTGTTATTTAAATGAAGCCCGATAGGTTTTTTTAGTGCTTTTAGATGATTGAGACAGGGTGATCCTTTGTCCCATTTTTTGTTTACAATTTATGTTAAGTACTTTAGTCTTATGCTAAGTAGGATGGAAAATTTGAGGTATTTTTCAGGGTTTTCGATTCTTAATTATGAAATTGTTATTTCTCACCTTCAGTATGCGGATGATACATTGATATTTTGTGATGCGGAGGTTGCTCATGTTTATAATATTGCTCAAATTCTGGAGATTTGTGAAGTGACTTTGGGTCTTAAAGTTAACTTTCACAAATCGTCATTGGTTGGGATTAACTATTTGATAGGGGTGGTTGGTGATTTAGGTACTTTGTTTGGATGTAAGGTTGGTTCCTTCCCTATTTTATATTTGGGGCTCCCTATTTCTGACTTGAGATTTACCATTGCTGTGTGGGATATTGTTATTAAAAGAGTACAATGTAGATTGGCACTCCAGAAACACAAGTATTTGTCTTTAGGCGGTAGGGTTAACTTGTTGAGACCTTGTCTTACGAACCTCCTGGTGTACCAAATGTCTCTAATCCACATGTCTGCTTTTGTTGCTAAAAGATTGGAAAAAATGATGTGGGATTTCCTGTGGGGATCAACTGATGTGAATAAGAAGTTTCATTTATTAAAGCGGGATAGAGTTTGTTCTCCAAAGACGGAAGGTGGTTTGGGCATAAGAAAAATAAAATTGGTGAATCAGGTATTGCTGTGTAAATGGTAGTGGCATAGCCTTATTTTTAAAGATCAGTTGTGGTATAGAGTGCTTGCTTCAAAATATGAAGTTGAGAGAGAAAATATGTGGATTTGGGGTGGTAGAGGTTATCAGACCTTGCATATGTGGAAGACTGTGTATAAATTGTAGACCAACTGTGTCGGGTTATTTCAAATGGACCGTGGGAGATGGAAAGAATGTCTCCTTTTAGCATCATGAATTGCTGGGTGAGCACCCCTTAAAAGTTGCATATCCTAACTTATTTAGGATTGCTACTCAACCAGATGTGATTATTTGAGAGGCTATTGACCGTAGGGGATAATTAACTTCTTGGAATATTACGTTTACATACAACCGGATGAGTGAGCTGATTCTTTAGTAGTGGTGGGCCCTTATAGAATTGTTGAATGAGGTTTATGTCTCTTATAATGCTAAGAATGAGGTGATTTGGGAGATTGAACATGATGGTATTTTCACAGTAAAGTCTTGCTACAGACTTCTCTTTCATGACCGATGAGAGCCTCCTGCCTCTCGCT